TAGTAGTAGTAGTAGTAGTAATAGTAGTAGTAATAGTAGTAGTAGTAATAGTAGTAGTAATAGTAGTAATAGTAATAGCAATAGTAATAGCAATAGTAATAGCAGTAATAGCAGTAGCAGTAGCAGTAGCAGTAGCAGTATTCCATCATTATAAACTACCCCTTTCTGTTGCAAGAAATCGTTCATAATCGGGCATTTTACGGCACAAATGATGACGTATTACATTTTACGACACAAAAGATTACGTCATCACACATTCAGCCAATCGCAGTGAGAGAATCCGAGGGAGTTAGCGGTAAACGAAACAGCCGACCACCACTTTCTCGCACAGATGTCGAATACCCGAGACGTTATAAGGTTTCTTCGCAAAATTAAATTTGATTCTCTTATAAGTTTACAATGTTATTGTACAAACAAATAGCTTATGCAAATCGTTTATAATGTTACTTCATTACATTCGTACAAAATTTGAAAATTCGCCCCTTACGTAGCTTGTTTTTAAAACATGTACTCATGCAATAAAACAACATTATGCACGAAATGCATAAACTATTATTACATTATACTTATGTTCCTATCAATTCTGAACAAAAACGCTCGTTGTTATCTGTTTTCGTAATTCACCTTTAAAGATAACAAAAATTATACGAGGTAGGGTAAGAATCCCAGAGCTCAAGTATGCCTACTTCTCCTCATAGTATGTCACTCAGTTAACCGTTTGTTTCACGATGAATAAAGAAAATACATATAAATAACAAACAAAAACAAACTAGAAAGGAAAAATGCTTAATTATTATACACTTCAACAATTCCTATATCAAAAATGTTGACTTCTACCCTTCCTCCTATTTCCCGCCATCTGCCCCAGGGCACAAGGATTTATTAGATGTGCAGCTTCTTAAATGAAATGTCAATTCTGAATGTTGCAGGAGGCGAGCACGGTGCTTGGGTTCCTGTGGCCTGTGTTCTCCTCTATGTCTGCACAAGTATGATTGGATTCCTCAACATTCCGTGGACAATGACTGCAGAACTTTTCCCTACAGAAATTAGGGGCATAGCACATGGAATTGTTATTTCTGTGGCACATCTTATAATGTTTGGAGCAGTGTGGTCATATCGTAGTCTTCTTCTCATCTTTGGAGGGCCTCATGGTGTTCAGTGGTTTTTTGCAGCCAATTCTCTCTTTGGAACTGTTTTTGTTTGGCTTTTCTTACCAGAAACACACAAAGTAAGTTTGAATGATATCCAAGACTACTTTTTTACAAATACCATCTACATTACAAAGAAGAAGAAAAAGCAATATGAAAATTCAGCTCAGAATATGGCACACTCATTGCCATTAATGGGATCAGCAAAAGCATAAATGCAATCTGAATTAAACAGCTTATATTCATTCTTTCCATCCTCTCAATTCAACTTATTTTTTCAGATATTAAATATTTAGTATCTGATGTCTTTGAGAGTGTTGACTATCTTTGATGCTGATGCATGCATTGTTTTTCTACAAATATAAGATTTAAATCTAAAATTCGATAAAAGAATTTTCCACAGTTTCTGTGTTGAATACTCAAATATGTAAATAATATACTTATGCATATGATTTTTTGTTTGTTTGAAAGTGTTTTATAATCAATGACTGCCAAATAATAAATTCCTTTCCATATTAAAGGAAGGATATAAATCAAATTATGGGGGTAAGAAAATTAAACAAAATTAGAAATTATTTTCAAACTTTGTCTGGTCTATTAGTTTATCAAATCATTATGGTGTGTCCACTAAGTTGTATAAGGCACAGAAAAATTATATTTATTATTGCCAATGCTGGCTATAAGAAAAATCTAATATTTGTTAATAAATAACTTGCTGTTATTCTCTAATATTGAGTGGGACCAGAATTCTTTCAGAGCAAAAAAATCTCTAGTATAAAGAAGTTAACTTCTTCTGTACTTATAAATGCAAACATGGAGTAATATCAGATTAAGCTTGATCAACAATTTACCAGATGTGAGAATGTGATGTGCATCCAAAAGAAACTAGATGATTGGAGACAAATTCAGGGCAGAGGAATTGCACACTAATATATTATGTCTTCCAGCATTAATGAGGAATAAAGTGAATAAGAATTCTTCTTAATGCAAACTTCACATCAAATTATTTTCATTTTAAAAACTTATTCCCCCATTGTCATATATCCTACAATGTAATTTTTCTCCAAAACTGCTTCTGGTGGTCATCATTTTCCAAGCAAAAATTGCTTTAAACAGCTTAATGAGAGAATCGGAAACTACATTATTAGAGATATGTGGATACATTAGAATGCAGAAATTATGTCTTAGTTCTCAAAATAAACAAATTCTTCCGCCCTGCAATGCTACTGTTGGCAATGATCTGATGTGTGTACATAAACTATAAAAAAATTACATGTGCTGTTATGTTAAAGACACTAATATTAAATATTTTGAAGTTTTGAAGACATGTTTGCATTACTTTACAACTTAAGCAAATTAAAAAAGCCAGTATCATGGAAATAGACAGAGGTAGTCTTATTTGTCTGTGAGTGTTTTGTATGTCTTGCCATAAATGAACTTTCATTTTTGGCTCTTTTTTGATTCGTGTTGGAAACAGGTGATGTCTGTAAAATCATCAAAACCTATTTAAAAATGCCAAATGAACATGACTATCATAAGTTCTCAGATTCTCTTTATACTTTATAGTTAATTTGTATTAACATGTCACTTGATCATTATCATGTGTCTTATTATGTCTATCATGCAACATCATCAAAACATAGATTCATTTTTCTTTTCTTTATTTAAATTAAAAAATGAATGTTAAATTAGGGTTAATCTATGTAAGTTTTTTCTATGTACATATGTATTTATAGATAACCACTCTCATTTTGCAAAAAGAATAAATGAAAATAAAAGATTAAACAAGAATATGCAAATCAAGGATACATATTTTCAAAGATGATTGAACTTTAAATTATGTGCCTCTTGCCAGTTGACATTCGTTATTTATGTTATTGTCATTCATGTTATCTATAAATTGACAAATCAATAAATAAATCTAGTTTCTGACACAGTTTTTCCATTATTTTATATCCTTATTTAATATCTCTCATTTGATGCCCACTATTACATTATCAGCATCTTTCACTTTTTAAATGAACAGAAAACCAAAACACTTATGGAATGTTAGAATGATTTTGAAAGCTTATGAAGGAAAGAAATAACTCAAAAATTGGTTTTTATTTTTTAAGATTTCTGAAAAATTCTAAAATGGAGTTTCAGTGTCCCAAAGAGTGTAAATGATTGAAGACAAATTCAGGGCAGAGGAAATGCATGTTAAAATATTGTCTTCCAGCATTAATGAGAAATAACATGAATAGGATTCCCTCTGAATAAAATTCAATTAATGAATGTTATAATCAAATATGATAATTTTTGAATTAATGCAGATTATTGATTCATTGTTTTTTTACTTTCTCGCTCTTATTTAGTTCTGGAGCCTATTCAATTACACAAAATTATGCAAATGTTCTGTAGTCATATGACATGAGATATCTGTTATCACTATTGAACATTAATTGAGCCTTGAATAATTATTTAAATAAGTAAAATAAAAGAAATAACGTAAATATTTGTTATTTCAGTTATTTATCCTGTTAAACATTTTAACTTTTATTTTAGTTCATTATAATAGAATGTACATTTCATTCATTTATATAAAATTACATGTAATTAGGTATTGTAATGGCTTAAAGGCCTTCGGCCTAGCCACATAGGATCAAGTAATCTAATTCGTTTGTAATAATTACCTATTAAATAAGTAAATAAATATAAAATTACAAAAACATTCATTTGTTTGACATTAATGATAGGTATTATTCATATACATTCTTGAAATATTGTGCAGAAAATGTGCATCGTTTAATGTGCAAGTTAACCATGTCTTGTATGTCTTGCAAAATTATAATTACTAGATGGCTAAATAGAAGACTCTTCTACAAGTATACTCTGCACTTTATGTCCTAAATATGGTTACATATTTACGGTTAATACAATTTCTCATGTTTGGAAGACAGTCCATCATGTAGTTGGGATTGTTTGAAAATATTTAAAAATTTCAAAACAAATTAATACATTAATGATTTTTGGTGGATTACAATGTCTTAAATAGTAATAAAAATGAAATAAAACACTTTGAAAATAAAGGACTTGACACGAACTGTATAGCAGTAAATTTTAATACAAAATCTATAACAGGAATTCCCTAAGGTAATTATTAGAACAACTTCTACTGGCACCACCTCTTTAAATTCACAGGTTAGATCATGTACTAAAACTCAGCTCTATTGTCATCAACCTGTGCTTTTCATGAAATTTATCTTATTGTTTATAATTTTATATTTTATTTGTTTTTTTGTTTATTTAATTTAAGTTATAAGATTATTAATTTTAGCGCGAATTAAAAATCTGAAGGAAAAAGCTCATATTTTCTTCTAAAGGACTGCAGAGTTCCAACATGGCTCCTGTAAAATAACTTTTTGATATCCTTTCAATCTTACCTCACTCACTGCGTCGCGAGAACCTCCAGCACCTTCCTTGTATGCAGCATGCCGCTACCGAGAATGTACTTGACTACACGACGATGAGTGCTATTGTTCACTGAGCGATGAGTTTTTAAGTTATAGTTCATATTCCAAAAAATTTAATATATTAAGTTGTGTCAAATTTACTTCTTTTTATGTTTTTCTTTACATAACTTGGACACGACATCCACTTTCTTTCAAGGAGCATGTTCTAATTATTGCTTCATCTTCACAAACAAAAACAAAGGAAAGTAATGAGCGTGTACCATGTTGCCATTTTGCTGCATTTCTATGTGAATTCTTTCTTCCACATTATCTTCATTCGTGAAGAAAATACAATATTTTGTATGTTTTTTGGCACTCGCTCATAGACCGTCTTGAGAGTGGTAATCGGATCTTGATGGTAATATCTTCAAAGCACCACCTATGTCATTTCAAGGGCCTTTACCATGTGATGTTGCAAACAAATGCCACTTTGCACGTCTTATGTAGACAGATAATCAACAAGATTATTTTGTTCTTATACCAAGCCTGCACAACGGACATTCAGCACTTACGAGCCAGCCATCGGCCGCGAGAGCGCTGAAAGTGCATTGTT